TATATAAGCTAATTAAAACATCATTTCTAATTTAGAAAATGTAAAGCATAATTTCTAATTTAGAAAATGGATTAAAATTTATGAAAAATTCATGGAAAACATTTATCTAGCCTAAGCCCAAAGTTTTAAGTGATGTAGCAGAAGTGTAATCAAATAACACTACTATTTCTTGTACAACAAGATGACACAAACCTTAGAAACCCCTAGAAATAGAAAACCTTCTGAAATATAGTAAACAAAACAAAATCTTACATAAAAATCACCTTACATAAGTCGTGAAAAGTTGCAAAATTGCTAATCTAGCCTCCTAAAATAAAGAGCTAACACATAAGTATTTAAACTAAGACAAACAAAACCTATTCAACACACAATTTGTGTCTTAAGATGATTTCCTTTGATTCGGGAACTCTATTGGAACAATGAAGTTATTGAAGGCATAGATCAATCCTTGAGCTTTCCTGTAACATTTATAATGAGGATTCTATGGAGGACTCAAGAGAGATGGTATGTTGCACGTCGAAATCTGCCTGAAAATTACCCAGTTTTCTTGGATCACCCGGGCTTTGTACTAGGGGTGGGCAAAAACCGAAAAAAACCGGTTCAACCGAAAAAATCGCCCAAAAAAGCGGGCCGGTTAACCGAACCGGATTAAATGGATGAGAAGAAGACTCTAAACCGCCCGAACCGAATTAACCGGATTAAATGGATGAGAAGAAGACTCTAAACCGCCCGAACCGAATTAAACCGGTTTGGATCCGGTTTAAACCCCTGAACCGCCAAAAAAAAAACCGAACTGAATTTTCTAATTCGTTCTTTGTCGGATATTCATATTGCTCAAAATGAGAAGGACTTCGTCGTTTGGAATTCGGTTAAAATGGAAAGGACTTTTGGTTCGGACGAAGTCGGATGGAATAGCTTTCTTATTAGTGAGTCATCACTTGTTTGGTTCGGACGAAGTCGGATGGAATAGCTTTCTTATTAGTGAGTCATCACTTGAACATTAAGCTATATAATTGCTCGGTAATTTGATTGTTATGTTTACATACATGTTTATATTGTATAGTTCCTTTTTCATTGGGCCTGCTAGCGTATATGCCCGCATTAAAATCGGTGAAACCTCATATAAGCTTTCAAATTCTACTAGAGGCATGTTAAGTTGTTTTCCAAGAAATGAAAGATAACCTTTTGATTATAGTTAATTAATATTTGAATGTTACGTAACCATATGTACTTGTTGATATGGTTTGCGCTCATTTCACTGATTTTGATTTTTTGTTAGCTGTGGTAAAGGTGTTACTTCAAACAAGCTCCACTTTTCATTGTTTGGGGGAAAAAGTTAAGTAGACAAAATGGACAAATAATGATACTTCATCAGAAATTAATAGGCAATGATCTCAGGTGTGGGCAGATTTTTGTGAAATAGTATTAATTCGGTCCAAAACCGAAACCGATCCGAACCGATCCGAATTTCGGTTGGGCCGAATATTCGGATGAAGGGGAAAAAAAATCTGGATCTGGATGAGAGTTTTGAGAATTCGAAAAATTCGGATTGGATGCGGATTGAGCTTAAAACCGATCCGAACCGAATATGCCCAGCCCTACTTTGTACAATCCAATTTCTCCCAAAAAGCATCACCTATTGCCTACGCATCATTAAATAAATGTATTGTAAGGGTCTCTCTCAAATTTTTATATAAAGTCTTATATAAAGTTTTCTGCATGCAAAATTATAATCTTTGCATGCATAAATGAATTTTACGCGTGAGTTTTATAATTTTGGGTTTTTGAGGTATTGGTCCCCTGAACCTCGTCTATTTCGATACAAGTCCCCCAAATGATCTATTTGGATAAAAGTCCCTCAAAACTTTTAAGTTCTTTGATAAATTCTTAATAGTTAATTCACACCCATCTGATCCTACTAAACTAGTGGGGTTGCTAGGAATTAGATTTTAGTCATGAGGAATTTTAGGAACTCTTACCAGATTGGTTTTTAAATGAGTTCAAAGGATACATTGACTTGTTTACCTTTGCAAGAGGGTAGACTGACGACAAGGGCAAAGATTTTAAGAAGATATGAGAATTAACCTTGGGGACCTATTTCAAAATCCTAATAGTTCAGAGGGCTTGCATCCCAAATATGATGATTTGGAGGTACTTGTATCCAGCTAGATGAGATTTGAGGGACCAATATCCAAAAAACCCAAAATTGGTTCCGTAAACTTGATACTTTCATCTCAAACCTGAAGACCACATTGTAAATAGCTATATACTTGCAACAACTATATATCTTAAATCTTCAAGCACATTGTACATAACAGTACATATTCTGCCTTTTATTCTATGTTCTCTCCACCTGAACATTACGAAAGACACTTTCCCTTATAAACAACAAATTGATTGGTCTCAATAAATATCAGTAAGTTTTACCAATAATCCTTACAAGAAAACGAACCTTTACTTATTTTCTTATTGGGTTTTTCTATAGAGTGCCCATGGGCACTCTATAGAAGAGGAGAGAGATAGAGAGAGATGATTAAAGAGGGGGCCACCTGATTTACATTGGGATCCCCTCCCCAATCATCTCTCTCTATCTCTCTCCTCTCTTATAGAATGCCCATGGACACTCTATAGAAAAACTCATTCTTATTTTAGGAAGATCCTTGCATGATGCATTTATGGTCATATAGAGGCTTTATCGCTATGGCATAATAACTCCGGCCGGTTATATGTCTAATCAACATATTTGACGATTTAATGTTATTTGCAAGAATAATTTGGACCTTTTATGGTAGAGAACATGTTAGATAACTAAAAAAAGAGCTAACACAAACTGGGCACGAATAGCCGTTGACGGACATTTCTGAATCTAGGAAGCATTTACGACTCAGGACACGGAATTCCACCTAATGAGTAGCACCCCCCCATGCGTACGTATGCCCAGTTTCCTCAGGCATCGGCCTCAAAGCCCGCCATCTCAAAGTGTTGAATGCTAGCAGAAGCGGCGAGAGGACCAAGCACTACCTAGATCAGTAAGAGAATGCAGTGATATGCTTCCCGTTGATAGGTACCGTCTTCTTTAGGAGTTGTGCTCTGCGGGACATTTAGTTCGATCAAACTAGGATTGAGCCAGCGGAACAAGAAAGTTACCGAGAGGCCAACGGCCGAAGCTATGTAATTGGGCGGAGGTGAGACGTTAATTGATACCGCACCGTGACACGATGAGATCCCATGATGAATTGATCGATGAAGGGAGATTGGTATTAGCGCCAGAGACTGGATTCAAGAGGCTGAAGTTACTGCCCGAAGCATCAGAGCTCAGCAACCGGCCGTGATTAGCGGAGGGCATGAAATACTGAGAGAGGATAGGAGTTCTGAAAGAGTTTGTCGTCGAAAGGGCCGTAAAAAGAGGTTTTTTCTAGAAGGATGAGGCACATGAGGAGGCGGTGTGGAAAAACCGGGGCCCATTAGAACAGGATCGTAACGAATAGTAGTGCAAAAGTAATAAAGTTGTTGGATATAGTTTATTAAACTAAAGTCGAAAGTGTTGCCTAACATCTAATGAAATGAAACAAAAAATCCAAAAAGAAAAATTAGGCAGTGAAGAAAAAAAAAAGCAAAAGTGTTTAATTCAACAAAGTTTGGTAATGTTTGAAATTTGGATAAAGTGGTTGGACCCACCGAAGAAAAATTAGTACGTGAACCCCACATGCATAGTAAAATATATTATTTTATTAGTGTATAGTGTTTTCCCAAACGCTATAAATAGACCTCAAATCCTTAAGAAAAATTCATTCCAAAAACAACAATCAATATATATATATATATAGATTGTAAAATTATTATAGAATAGCTAGTGCTCGTAGGAACAATGCCTAGACCGAGAAGGTTTGATAGATCGAGGAGATCTTTGCCTGATAGATCGAGGAGATCTTTTCCTGATAGATCGAGCAGATCTTGACAGTACTGGGTTGGTGCATACCAGAGTACTGGACTGCTGTTCCTGGAAGCAATTTGGCCTTGAGATCCTTATATATATATATTATAGAATAGCTAGTGCTCGTAGGAACAATGCCTAGACCGAGAAGGTTTGATAGATCGAGGAGATCTTTGCCTGATAGATCGAGGAGATCTTTTCCTGATAGATCGAGCAGATCTTGACAGTACTGGGTTGGTGCATACCAGAGTACTGGACTGCTGTTCCTGGAAGCAATTTGGCCTTGAGATCCTTGCACCGGAGTATGCCAAATAATGCTTTAAGCACAGCGTTTTACAAACGCACAGCAGCTGAGTTTGAAAATTTTAAATTATTGCACTTCAGTATTTTGTTCAGTTTTTGTTGTTATATATCTGTATTATTCCAGATTTAACCACAGGCGCCAATAAAAGTGAACACACAGATTTTACGTAAATTTAAGAGTTATAATCTCTCTTTACAAGGAGAAACTCTCTCTAATTCTTTCTCTCGGTCTTCTATGTTGGAATGTGTTTTTTCTAAAGAGTTTTAGGCCTATTCTATGTTGGAATGTGTTTTTTCTAAAGAGTTTTAGGCCTATTTATAGACAACTGAAAATACTATTCCTTATGTTATAATATTTTTTTCTTCTTTTGGTGTATTTAATTTGAAGCCCGCTACTTTTTTTATTTTTCCAAAATTGCAACTGACAGGCAGAGCTACACCACACTAATAGAAAAAACAATACGTGCAAAATCACATGTAAATGAGAAGATGATGAAATTAAATATATTTTCTTGTGCTAGGCACCCACCTCCTATCGGTGTGATTTATCGCTCGTGGAGCAACTAAGAATTTGTGGCCTCGATCTGGCCTGGGCTCAATCAGACAAGGAGACGCCGCTTTTATTCTGGGTTTTTATTTGTCAGTTTTCCCTTTAAGAATTCTCAATTTCGAAACTCAAGCAATTAGTTAGCTTTCTCCAAACTTAAAGTCTCAATCTCAACATGCAAAGCCAAGTTTCAAACATAGTAAAGCAAAAATAGCATGACAAACACGGATCGTCCCATCACTTTGCCCAAAATTTAGAGAATTAAACGCGTGATAAACTACACAAACTTGATTTGTTCCTTCTGAAAGGCGCAGATTATAGCACAGTTTCTTCGCGCAGATGAAACCAACTTTGTTTCTTGTTAACCAGGGCCAACTTTAGGGATGTCATAGTGCTCGGTGAGGTTGGCTAAGTACTGGTTGAACTCCTGAATCCGATCACGGTGAGATTTGCTCGCCATCTTTGCTAGCCTTCGCATCTCTATCTTCTCCCTCTGCTCCATATAGCGCCTCTCAGCTGGGGTTAGATGATGATAAGACGGTCGATGCCCTTCATCTCCCAATTTGTCAGATTCTATAATGTCCCCCGAAGAGTAACATGATATAACGTTAGTAATCAAACTAAGGAGTAACTGCATATATAAATGAGGCCTTAGTTCAGTATTAGTTCAGCAAAGTTGAATGTGCTAACCTTCTTGAAGCTCGTTTCTTAAAGTTTCTGAGTTGTTCTCGTAATGATACTTGTTTTTCTTCTTCTTCTTCTTTACTCCACCAGCTTTTACATTCAAAGGCTTCCCTTTCAACTTCAGCTTCCCACCAACAACATTCTCAAACGCAGACATTTACCTAAGTAGAAATAAGTAAGTAATTTTTTATCCGAATAGGGAAAAGCATATATGTGAACATATTGTCCAATTCTGTATAAAGCATAATAAGATTCTTAAATAGGATTTATGTTACCTAGGTGCTTCTATCGGAAGCTATACCCTTACCCGACAAGTACCCGTATCATAGTGAACATGTACCTGTACTCATACTGAGACTTCATTGGACACTTCTTGAATATAAGCATACAATTACTTAGGTGTAAAACAAATTATACAGTACATGTTTGAATTTAAAGCACTCCTCATACACTTCTTGAACATATATCAAAATTATTAACTTTAATACACACACACTTTTACGTATGTATACGCGTCAGTTCCGGTACCCTACCTTCTACAAAATTTCCCCGTACCGTATCCAAACCCCTATACCCGTGCAACTTAGGATGAATACATGTTCCATTCCATGTTTATCTTTCTGAATACTGCATCACATGATTCACAAGACGATAAAAAAAACTATAGATCTCACCTACAAGCATACATCCGAGTACATCTAAAGGGGTACATGCTGATTTTGATTCCTGGAGTTTTTTTTCCCAAGTCATTTATTATTTATCTCTCTCTCATTTTGTACTCAGCAGAAACAACCTTCAAACCCCTTCAGTTCTCATTCACGTGTACATCATAACATATTCATCCATGCTACGCTCATCGTTCACAAATTTATTTCTTAATTGCGCAGCATTCAGATTCGCACATAGCTGTAGGGATTTTTAGACTCGTAAAAACCCCCCAAAAAACCACCAAACGCAGCAAATAAAATCACACAAGATTTAACGTGGAAAACCCTCAACAGGGAAAAATCACGGGATCAAAATCAATCCACTATCACCTCCAAATTACAATCTTTTGCACGGATAAACACTGCCAAACCCTCTCTCTCTACACTTCTTTTTCTTCTCTTTTTTTCTCTAACAATAGAAGGATATCTATAGAGAAACCAAAACCCTATCTCTGGTCTAACTTCCTAATTAGAATAAGATTTAAACCCCCAATCATGATGGAACCCAAACTCCTAATCATGATAGATCTCTAACCTTATCTAATTCTCATGAAGTTATACAAAGAATTAAAAACTCTATCCCAACTTGGAGTTTGAGTAGATACCCAACATATCCTCCCTCGACGAAAAATCTTCAAGTGTCTCAACGACTTCAGAAAAACTCACTCTCTTTTTCTTGTTCTTCACCTCTCCCTTGTGGACAAGAGTCTGAGAAGAGTAATATGCACCATTAACGGATCGCCCATCTAAATAGCAAATATGATTGCTATTCTTCCTCCCTCGTAAAATCAAATCACCATCTCTATACACATTGCACCACTCTCCTTCACCCACATACTTGTACCAACGTGATGCCATCTCACCTAGCGAAATTAAATTAGCACCACATGTTCGCACATATCTCACATGATGAAGAATTCCGACCTTCCCAGTATAAAGCTTGAGGCGAGCACTTCCAACACCTTCAACCTTCATCTTCTCGTTGTTTCCAACAATCATGTCGTCAAATTCTTCATCTATTTTCAATGTGTTAAAATAATTTTTGTTGTTGCAAACGTGCATAGAGGCTGCAGAATCTAACACCCAAGTGTTACTCGCATCAGTACTTGTACTCTACATCAATAAAACCACATCTTCATCACACACAACCACTGAGGAGTCCGTCTTCTTCACATTTTCTTGAAGCTTCATCTGTCTAATACTCTTCAAATCATCACGCATCTGAGAACATCTGAACTGAATGTGACCATTCTCTCCGTAATAATAGCACTCCTTTTCGTTGTCGTCTCGGACCCGAGATTTTGACCTTCCTCGATAACTGTCACATCTTCCTATACTCCTCCCTCGATTAGAACCTTTAAAAGCTAGTGCACTCTCACCACCATTAGATGCGCTCTTCTTTCCCATCATTCTTTCATTCTCACGTAGGAGTGCTGTCACATCGTCGAACTTCAAAGTCTGCTTCTCTGCAATTATCGCCTGAACTAACGGCTTGTACGGCTTCGGCAAGGAAAACAATAGGAGTAGTGTCTGCTCTTCTTCTTTAATCTTCTCATCAATATTCATAAGTTGGTAAACTAGCTGATTAAAGACATTGATGTGGTCTTGAATTACAGTATCTTCTTCCATCTTCAACAACTAAAGCTCCATCATCAAACACAATCGGTTGGTCATCGACTTCGACGCATAAATCCCCTCGAGCCTTTTCCACAGCCCCCTTGGTGTGGTCTCTTGCATAACATTGTACTTGATCTCGGAGGCGAGTGCCAAACGAATTGTGCTAACCGTCCTCTTTTACATGGAACTCCATTCAACATCCTTCAATCCTTCTGGTTTCTTCTCCTCCAAAGTTTGATCAACACCCTACTGCACAAGAATATCTTGAACCGTGTACTGTCATACTACAAAATTTATCTTGTCATTGAATAGCGGAATATCAAGCTTCGGACCCGAAGGAGTCATCATCCTCTAACCACGATCAAAATTCAAATCAGTCCCTATAGAGATTGAATTTGATAAAACCGACGTCAAAAACGAACTCAGCACGTCGAAAAACCCTAGGAACGACTCCTGGATCATCGAAATCCGCCTTCAAATTCTCGATCAAAAGACAAATCAACCTCAACCGTCGGATCTATTGTCGCTACAGTATCACCACTACAGTACCGTAAACAGTATGTCATCGTGAACAATTCCTCTGCTACAGTACCCTCGGTGAACAGTGTTGTTGCTACAGTTCGTTGCCACCAATGTTGTTGCAAATCTCGAATCTCCACGAACCGTCGAACCACGCTCTGATACCACTTGTAAGGGATTTTTAGATCTCGTAAAAACCCCTAAAAAACCATCAAACGTAGCAAATAAAATCACACAAGATTTAACGTGAAAAACCTTCAACAGGAAAAAACTACGGGATCAAAATCAATCCACTATCACCTCCAAATTACAATCTTTTGCACGGATAAAGACTGTCAAACCCCCTCTCTCTCTACACTTCTTTTTCTTCTCTTTTTTTTTCTCTAACATTAGAAGGATATATATAGAGAAACCAAAACATTATCTCTAGTCTAACTTCCTAATTAGAATAAGATTCAAACTCCCAATCATGATAGAACACAAACTCCTAATCATGATAGATCTCTAACCTTATCTAATTCTCATGAAGTTATACAAAGAATTAAAAATTTTATCTCAACTTAGAGTTTGAGTAGATACCCAACAATAGCGGCCATCCTATAGATTTTCTGTTCAATTTCACAGGTACTGTACGATCGCATCAAACTATAGAAAAGCTGACCCATTTTAACCATAATTAAACAAAAAGGGATAAAAAACTGTATAAAGAAATATATAAAACATAAAATCTACAGAAAAAAGGGGAAGCTAAATATCTAAGACCAAATGCGATCGAGTTTCACGTCTCTAAAAATTATTAATAACCCGAAAACTCCAAATCTAAGTTATCCCACGTTTCAACCGTTTGAACTAAGCTTATATCTTCTAAAAAAAATACCAGAAACGATTCATCTAAGGAATCTCAAGTATCCAATCTCCAAACATGAGAACATCTTAAAAAAGATTACAGTTTTGAGAAGTAAGACTGAAATTTTTCAAAAAAAAAAACCTTTGATGTGATTTCCCGACGGCGCAAATGACTTCGTCGGCGTTGTCGAGATGAGGATGGATCGATCGAGGGGCAGGGGTTTCGATGAATTTGAGGCGGAGAGGGAGAAAGATTGGGCAACATGAAAAGATACCTCCGAGATCGCGGGGTACCAATTTCTCAGTTTCTGGATCCATTATAAATTTTAACAGAACAATCTCGAAGCCGAGATCAAATATCTGTTCGTGGTAGAGCGAGACGGAACCTTCTCGAGAACGAGGCGTAATTTATCTGCGGAGGATCTCTGATACAAAATAATTTTAATGGTTTTAGATATTAGTCCCTTACGTTATAGTTATTTTGATACTAGTCCCTCATGTCTTCGTATTTTGATAAAATTGCCTTAATATGCTGTTATTAATCCTAGTGAGTTGGATGTTAAAGTGGCTGGGGAATATTCCATTTTATTTAACTTTTTTTTGCTATTTTTAGTCATTTCTCAAATAATTCGGCAGAGAGAGCTAAAATACACGATCACATGAACTATAACTCATGATTTCTGGACATTTTTATTCGGGCTAAATACCCATATTGGTATTTTAGTTCAACCTCATTTGTCAAGAAGGTATTTTAAATAAAAAAATCGCCATATTGGTATTTTAGTTCAACCTCATTTGTCAAGAAGGTATTTTAAATAAAAAAATCGGCGTTAAGGTATTTTAATTGATTAAAAATTTGTCAAGAAGGTATTTTAAATAAAAAAATCGGCGTTAAGGTATTTTAATTGATTAAAATTACCAATAAGGTCTTTTTTCTCGTCGGCGACCACTTTTCCGGCGACAACTCGTCACGTGCGTGACACGTGATGACTTAATCTGTATAAATACCCATATTGGTATTTTAATTCAACTCAATTTGCCAAGAAGGTATTTTAAATAAAAAATCGGCGTTAAGACATTTTAATTGATTAAAATTACCAATTAGGTCTTTTTGCTTGTCGGCGACCACTTTTCCGGCAAGAACTAGTCAAGTGCATTTTAATTCAACCGGTTTTCTGATGTGGTAGTGGCAGGAAGAATAAGAGTCGATGCATTTTAAAATCCCCCATTTCTAAAATTGGTAAAAAAATTAGCGAAAAATTCGGTGGAGAAATTACCGTATAAATAGAACCTCTTTCTCTTGCATCGATCCATGGCCGCGCCGGCGGCAATCTAGTCTGCAGTGAATCTTCGTCTTCTCACTTTCTTCTCTCAAATTCCCATGGCGTTTTCTTCTAGAAGTTCCTAGAATCGGGGGTTTTGGCTGCTTCTGTTAGCGGTAAAGGTAAGATAATTGAGTTGGATCTGAGATTTGGAGTGAATGCGTGGAAGTTTGATCTTTGTTTTGGAATTTTTAGGGTTCAGGTTGGTTCGTTTTGGACTTAAATTATGATTAAGCCACATCAGCAGCTAAAACCGAGCCACATCAGCAAACCGAGCCACATCATCAGCTAAAACACAGATTAAGTCATCACATGCCACACACGTGACGAGTTCTCACCGGAAAAGTGGTCGCCGACGAGAAAAAAGACCTAATTGGTAATTTTAATCAATTAAAATGCTTTAATGCCGATTTTTTATTTAAAATACCTTCTTGGCAAATGGGGTTAAATTAAAATACCAATATGGGTATTTATACAGATTAAGTCATCACGTGCCACGCACGTGACGAGTTCTCGCCGGAAAAGTGATCGCCGACGAGAAAAAAGGACCTAATTGGTAATTTTAATCAATTAAAATGCCTTAACGCTGATTTTTTTATTTAAAATACCTTCTTGGCAAATGGAGTTGAATTATAATACCAATATGAGTATTTAGCCTTTTTATTCGTTTTGACCTGTTGGCAAATAATCTCGTGGAGGCTAAAAATCATGATATTGTGATCTATAACCTACGATTTTATGACCATTTTTGTCACTTCAAATTGTTAGCAAACAATTTTATAGAGGTCATAATTCATGATATCATGAGCTATAACCCACGATTTTTGGTCATTCTTAGTTATCTCGACCCGTTGGCAAATGATTTCGCGCAAGCCAGATTTCACGATTTCGTGAGCTATAACTCATATTTTTTTGCTATTCTCAGTTGTTTCGATTGCTAGCAACTAATTTTATGGATGCTAAAATTAACAATTTCGTAAGTTATAGCCTATGTTTTAAAGTCGTTTTTAGTTATTTCGATCAATTGGCAAATAGTTTTGCGGATGTCAAAATTCATGATATCGTGAGTTATAACCTACATTTTTTTGGCCATTTTAGTCATTTTGAATAGTTAGCAAATAATTTCACCGAAGCCAAAATTTTCAAATTTGTGAGGTATAACACATGATTTCTGGTCATTTTTAGTTGATTTGACCCATTAAAAAATAATTTTGTGCATATCAAAATTTAAAATTTTGTGAGTTATAATCCATGATTTTTATTATTTTTTAGTCATTAGGACCAGTTGACAAAGAATTTTACAAAGCCAAAATTCATGATTCATGAACTATAACCCACGATTTTTTGGTAATTTTTAGTCCTTTCAACCTGTTGGCAAATAATATCATGAAATACATGATTTCATGAGCTATAAACCACGACTTTTAGCCATTTTTAGTTGTTTCGATCTGTTGGAAAATAATTCCATTGAGGACAAAAATCACAATTTTGTGAGCTATAATCCACAAATTTTTGTAATTTTTAGTTATTTCATCTGCTAGCAACTAATTTTAGAAGACTAAAATTCACGATTTCATGAGATATAGTCTATGTTTTTTTAGCTATTTTTAATTGTTTTGACCTATTAGCAAATAATTTTTAGAAGGCCAAACTTCATGATTTCATGAGTTTAAGCTCGGATTTGTTTGGCATATTTAGTCATTTGGACTAATTGACCAATAATTATGCGGAAGATAAAATTCATGAAACCCATGATTTTTCACAATTTTAAATCGCTTCGATGTGTTGACAAATAATTTCGTAGATGATTTTTAGGCATTTTTAGTCATTTTGATTAATTAGAAATATTTCTACAGAGGATAAATATCACAAATTTCTTGAGCACCTATGATTTTGCAGCAATTTTTATTCATTTGGGCCCATTAGCAAATAACTTATTCAGGATTTCCTGAGCTATAACTCATAATTTTTAGCCGTTTTTAGTTGTTTCGACACGTTAGCAAATATTTTCGTTGATATAATTTACTATATTGTGAGTTATCCATGATTTTTGATCATTTCTAGTCACTTTGACCCATTGGCAAATAATTCTTTGGATGGCAATATTCACGATATTTTGCCATTTTCAGTTATTTGGATTAATTAGCAAATAATTTTATGGAGGCCAAAATTCACTATTCATGAGCTATAACTTATAAATTTTGGCCATTTTTGGCCATTTCGACCCGCTAGCAAATAATTTCATGTGGGCCAAATACACCATTTCATGAGCTAAAATCCATGATTTTTGGACATTTTGAGTTATTTCAACTCATTCGCAAATAATTTCACATATGCCAAAAATCATGATTTTTAGCTATAACCTATGATTTATGGCCCTTTTTAGTAATTTTGACCCATTGACAAATAATTTGTAGATGTCAAATTCAAGATTTCATGAGCTATTTTTGTCAATTTTAGCCTGTGTATGTGTGTGTGCGCGCGTGCGTGTGTGGCAAGTAGTTTTGTGTAATGCAAAAATTACTATTTCAAGAGCTATAACCCATGAATTTTTAGCATTTTCTTCATTTCAACCCAACTGAAAATAAACCTACAATTTTTAGACATTTTGACCTGCTGGCAAATAATTTTGTGCAGGCCAAAATTCATAATTTCAAGAGTTGTAGTGCATGATCTTTTGGCCATTTTAGTCATTTCGACCCATTAGCAAATAATTTCATCGAGACAAAAATTCATAATTTTGTAAGCTATAACTCATGATTTTTTACTAATTTTATTCATTTGGACTAGTTGGCCAATAAGTGGGTGGAGGCCAAAATTCACAATTTTTTGAGCTATAACCAATGATTTTTAGCTATTTTATGTCGTTTTGATGTGTTGACAAATAATTTCATGGAGGCCAAAATGCAAGAATTCATGAGCTATAATCCATGATTTTTGGTCATTTTTAGTCATTTTGATCTATTGGCAAATAATTCTGCAGATGCCAGAATTATGAATTTGTGAGTTATAATCTACGATTTTATTGCTCTTTTTAGCCATTTTAGCTTTTGGCAAATAATTGTACAAACCAAAATTCATTATTTCATGGGTTAATACCTGTGTATTTTGGCCATTTTTAGTATTTTAACATATTGCAAATAATTCCACGGAGGACAAAATTCGTAATTCATGAATTATAACTCATGATATATGACCATTTTTCATTGTTTCGACTCGTTGGAAAATAATATCATGAAAGCCAAAGTTCATGATTTTGTGAACTATAACTAACAATTTTTTGCTATTTTTAATTATTTTGAACAGTTAGCATATAATTTCGCGGAAGCCAAAATTTACAATTTCGTAAGCTATAATCCATAAATTTTGGCCATTTTTAATCATTTCGACCTGCCGGTAAATAATTTCGTGGAGACTAAGTTTCAATATTTCATGAGCTATAATCCATGATTTTTGAGCATTTTTAGTCATTTTGAATCGTTGGCAAATAATTTTGTGGATGTCAAAATTCATGATTTTGTGGGGTATAACCTACGATTTTTTCTCATTTTTAATCATTTGGATCAGTTGGCAAATAATTTTATAGAAGCCAAAATTTAAGATTTTATGAGCTATAACCCATAATTTTTTATCATTTTTAGTCGTTTCGATCTTAGTAAATAATTTCGTAGAGGCTAAATATACGATTTCATGAGCTGTAAACCATTATTTTTGGGTATTTTCATGATTTTGTGAGCTGTAACCTACAATTTTTTGGCCATTTTAAGTCATTTCAATCCATTAGCAAATAATTTTGTAAAAGGAAAATTTTAAGATTTAATGTACTATTTACGTCAGTTTCGCCCTTGTGGTAAATTATTTTGCTGAGTGCAATACTTACTATTTTATGAGTTATAACTCATAAATTTTTATCATTTTCCTCGTTTCGACCTCCTTGAAGATAAACCCATATTTTTTTACCATTTTTAGGCATTTTAACATATTGATAAATATTTTCATAGAAGCCAAAATTCTCAATTTGATGAGCTATAACCCAAAATATCTGATTTCGTGAGTTGCAACCTATTGGCAATTGATTTTTTAGAG